CAAAGAGGTACGGCAGAAATGCCCACCAATGAACTCCTCACTAAGCTAGTGCTTAGTTAAAACGTCAAGTGCCGTTCGAGTTCAGGCTGCAAGCTACTCATTTATCCATCAGCTGTGTGCAGCACGGCCCCTGGCACTAACGCCGTCAAGAAAACCTAAATCTCAATCTAGGTGGACCTTGGGCCCAGCTGAAGCTTTCCCCACAGAACGTCACCCTGTCAGTCAGCTGCAAACGTTACAGACTCCTCCTCCTCCTGGATCTGGCAGCAAGACTGATCAATCTCTGAGTCCCACGGAGAAATTCACAAAACTCACGGAAGTCAAAGAGGTTTTTCTTACAGGTGAAGACAATCAGGAGGAAAACAGCCTAAAGACAATCAGAATTCATTTTTAAAAATAAAAATACCTGGCAGGAAAGTCAAGTTTCTTGAAACAATTTGAAAGAATAGAATGTGGGGCCAGTGCTGTGATGTAGCAGGTAAGGCCACCGCCTGCAGCGCTGGCATCCCTGGTTTGTGTCCTGGCTGCTCCACTTCTGGTCTGGCTCCCTGCTAATATGCCTGGGAAAGCAACAGAGGATGACCCAAATGCCTGGACCCCAGCCACTCACGTGGTAGACACAGCTGGAGTTCTTGGCTCCTGACTTAGGCCTGGCCAAGCCATGGATGCTGTGGCCATTTTTTTTTAAAGATTTATTTATTTAGTTTGAAAGTCAAAGTTAGAGAGAAAAGGAGGGGGAGGGGGAGGGGAGGGCTTCCATCCACTGGTTTACTCCCCAGATGGCTGCAATGGCCAGAGTTGGGAGCTTCTTCCAGGTCTCCCATGTGGGTGCAGAGGCCCAAGGACTTGAGCCATCTTCAGCTGCTTTTCCAGGCCACAGCAGAGAGCTGGATCAGAACTGGAACAGCTGGGACTAAAACTGGCACAATGTCGGCCCCTGTTGTAATCATTTGGGAAGTGAACCGGCAAATGGAAGATCTCGGACTCTCCCCCGCCCTCTGTTAACTCTTTCAAATAAAATAAATAAATATTTATATATAAATATATATATATTTAATAAATATAAATAAAAATATAAAAAATATATATGGCAAAAACTGATTCACAAGACTACTCAAGTATGCTGCTGGAGAGGTTATCACATTATTTAACTTTCACCTCCACAAAAACCAAAACCCAGCATTATTTACTTTAGAGCAAAGAAAAGGTAAAAATTCTAGGTTACTAATTTCTACCACCTCTTTTCAGGGTAGCATAAACTGGAATGCATGTGATGGAACAAAATTACAATACTAGGAAACAACATTGGCCAAATTAATATAGCTTGTGGTTGACAGTGACAGCTGTTCCAGGCCCATCAATTCTTCAAAGTGACTCTTAAATATCTTCAGATGGAGAGAAGGGAGGTCTGCAAACTGCAACCCCCACGAGCAGGACACCGCCCCTCCCAGCGTGCCCTGGTGCTGTCCTCTGGGCACTCCGAGGGGGCGCCCCCTCCTCCCACCTCCTCACAGCACTTCACACCCGACGCTGTGGCACCTACGCTCCCCAACACGCAGGGGAACCATCAGGTGGCTAACTTGCCTTTCCTCACCAGGATGTTAGCTCTGGGCAGACTCTCCCTCTGTCAGCCCAGAGCTATCTATGCACATGTCAAGAAACGGGTGTTAGAATCTGAGCCCCAATATTTTCCCTCTAAGCTGCTTTCAAAAGTCCACGGATGGCTCCTCAGAAAATGCAAACCCAGGATCACTGCACAGCGATCTGTGGAATCTACCGAGAACTGGAAGCAGGGACCTGAACAGGAATCTGGCATCGCTGACAACAGCCGAAAGGCGGCAAAATCCACAAGTTGGTCAACGAATGAAAAGGTCAACAAAATGAGGCCTTTGCAGGCACTACAGAACCCTGTTCAGCTTTAAGAGGGAAAACTGGTAACACACGACACACGGTGAACCTCCAAGACACGGCGCTAACTGCAAAGAGCCAGGCACAAAGGCAAACCCTGAGGCCACTCAATGAGGTCCCTAGACAAGGGGCAGGTTAAGACGACCACACCGCTCGTCCAAGGTCCCAGCTTCCGGCTAATGCGTGCCCCGGGAGACATCCTGGGTCCCTGCCCCACAGGGACCCAGACTGAGTTAATTTCTTCTTAAAGATTTATGTACTTACTTACTTATGCGTTCATGTATGAACACATGCATTTGAAAGCCAGAGCTACAGAGAGGGAGACAATCTTCCATCTACTGGTTCACTCCCCAGATTATCACAACCGCCAGGAGCTTCATCTGGGTCCCCCACATGAGTGCAGGGGCCCGAGAGTGGGCCATCCTCCTCCTCCCCAGGCCACAAGCAGGAAGCTGGATCAGAAGTGGCCAGATGGGACACGGACCAGCACTGTGTGGGCTCCGCCTAGGGCGCCAGCATCCCATATGGGCACAGGTTCTAGTCCCAACTGCTCCTCTTCCAGCCCAGCTTTCTGCTATGGCCTGGGAAAGCAGTGGAAAACAGCCCAAGTGCTTGGGCCCCTGTGTCCGCGCGGGAGATCGGGAAGAAGCTCCTGGCTCCTGGCTTCAGATCAGCTCAGCTCCAGCTGTTGTAGCCATCTGGGGAGTGAACCAGCAGATGGAAGACCTCTTTCTGTCTCTCCCTCTCACTGTCTGTAACTGTACCTCCCGAATAAATAAATAAATTCTTAAAAAAAAAAAAAAAAGAATAAAGGGCCAACATTGTGGCACAGTGGGTTAATGCCCTGGCCTGAAGCGCCAGCATCCTATATGGGCGCCGGTTGGAGACCCGGCTGCTCCACTTCCGACCCAGCTCTCTGCTGTGGCCTGGGAAAACAGAAGATGGCCCAAGTGCTTGGCCCCTGCACCTGCGTGGGAGATCCAGAAGAAGCTCCTGGCTCCAGATCAGTGTAGCTCCGGCCATTGCGTCCAATTGGGGAGTGAACCATCAGATGGAAGACCTCTCTCTCGCTCTCTCTCTCTGCCTCTCCTCTCTCGGTGTAACTCTTTCAAATAAATAAATAAATCTTAAAAAAAAAAAAAAAAAGAATCAGAGTTCAGGGGGTACAGTTTCAGTCTGGGGAGATGAGAGAGTCCTCTAGTGTACTCACATTATGTTTTGTGTATTCTACCACAATTAAAAAGGTAAAAAGCACACCGCCCCTTCTCCAGAAGCAGCTGAAGTGTGCAGGCTCCCTCTGGGGCCAGACTGCCTGGGTTAGATCTCAGCCTGGACGCTGCCACACTACGTGTACTTCAGAAACTTCTTGCAGAATCGAATTAAGTCTGGCTTTCATTTAATTTTTATCTGTTTCATTTATTTAAAAGAGAGAAAACACAAGCAAGCACTCACATCCTCTGGTCCACTTTCCAAACATCCAGACAGGCAGAGCTGGGTGTGGCTGAAGCCAGGAGCCTGGAGCTCCGTCGGGGTCTCCCACGTGGGTGGCAGGGACCCCGCACTTGGGCCATCACTGCTGCCTCCCAGGGCGCTGGCGTCAGGAGCAGAGCCGGGATGTGCACACAGCTCTGCAGGTGGAGTGCAGGCGTCCCACGTGGCGTTTCAGCCTCTACACCCGACACCCATCCCCTTAGGTTTGCTTGGCACAAACGTCTTCCTAAAGTTCATGAGAAGTGCATACCGGGAAAAACCACATGGATTTCAACTTCTTTCGGTACCAAAATAAGCTTATCTTTTCCTCGCATGTTCAAGGCACTTTGCAAGGTGCCCTCATCCACTCAGTCCTTCTGTGTCGGTTTTCCCACGGATGGATTGCATAGCGCCCACCGCCCGGGCTCGGAACACAGCACCGGGGTGTGATCTGAAAAGCACCTACTGTCATTCTCGGGAAGCCTACAGAAAGTACAGCCTGAAACTGGCGCCTTGCAGAGCGCGCTGCCACGCGGAGCGCCACACACAACCTTCATCGCCAGCCGAAGCCCCGGGCGCTGACCCCGGCCCCCCCAGCCGGCAGCAGCTTGTGTTCCCACGCAGAATGAAGCAGGACCAGGCCTTTCACACCTCCTTCCTTGAGGGGGAACCGTCTCACTGCCTAACGAACCAGCACCTGGCTGGGCGAGGGCTGGGACGCCACGGCCGGTGTCAGAGCGCCCGGCCTCGGGGAGCGACCCTGCACATCAGAGCTCGCAGTCACTGCCTCTCCAGCAAATACATCTTAACAAAGAAGCTCCGCGAGGTCCTGCACCGGGGCGGGACCCGCACGCGCTCCTCCAAGCCAGCCGGTCCCCGACCAGGCACCGCGCCAGCTCCGGGTGCACCCGCGCCCCGCTCAGGGCGCGAGTCAGCACCGCGGAGCCGCTCCTCCCGGGATGAGACAGGGCGCCGCCCAGGCCAGGCGGTCTACACGGCCGTCCACGCCGGCGGCCCGCACCGGCCGTCCACGCGGCGCCCCGCGCCCCGCGATGCCGGCGTTTGATTCAAAGTTCGACACTGAAAACAAAATCGCCTTCCGGCGCCGGGGCACAGTCTGGAGATGGGAGCGGCGCCGGCTGCCGGCCGGGGGACCCCGTCCCCGCACGCAGCGCGCGGAGAGCCCCGCCCCGGGAACTCCCGGCGGCCGCACGCCCGCCCCCGCCGAGCCCGCCGACCAAGTCCCGGGCCTCCCGCCGGCGCCGCGCGGCCACAGGGCGGGGCGGCCCGGCCGGGCCCGACGGCGGGCTTTCCCGGGCGCCGCCCCGCGCGGCAGGGCCCGCGGCCGCCCGGGCCCGCGGAGGCGCGAGACCCCCGCCCGCGCCCGAGGCCCCGCCCCCCGCGGCCGCCCCGGCGCTCGCCCGCCGCCCCGCCCCTCCCCGCCGCCGCACGCGCGCGGCCCCGCCCCCGAGCGGCGCGCGAGCGCCCGCCCCCTCCGCGCGCACCGGGACTACGCGCTCCCCCTCCCGCGCCGAGCCGCCCCGCTCCGCCCCCACCGCTCGCACAGCCACACGCCTCCCGCTCTACGGAAAGCCGCGGGGGTCAGCCCCCCCAATACACACCCTCCGGCCCGGCGCTGCCCGCCGCCCGGGTTCCCGCCGGAGCTCGGCCCACCGGCTCTCACCGCGAAGCTGCTAGGGCCGCTCGTCACTGCGCGTCCCTCTCGGCGTGAGCCGCGGGCTCAGGAGGCCCCGAGAGCCGCACGGGGCAGAGGCCGCCGAAGCGGACTGGCAGCCTGCGCTCCGCTACCGAGGCGGTCACAGGCCCTGCTGCCCAGACTGGGAGGGAGGGAGGGAGGGAAGGAGGGAAACTCTGTGGGGGGAAGGGGAGGGGGAGATGGAGAAACCGTCTCCGCCGCCTCTACCGCCGCGGCCGCTTCTCTGTTACCCGGGAAATCCCGCCCACTCCCCCGGCCCGCCCAGCAGAGGGAGGACTCGGCTTCGCTCCTCCACAGGACGCATCGCCCGCCAGTCAAAAGGCCAGCCAATTACTGCGCCCCGCCCGCCGACTTCCCGCCCCTTCCCTCTCGGTGGGGAAGGGAGGGGGAGCCGCTCACCCTCTCCACGCCCCTATTGGCGGGGAGCTTCCCTAACTCAACCCCGCCTATTGGAGACGGATTGCCGAGTCCCTCCCCCCAGCCGCAACACCATTGGCGGAAGCGGGGGAGCTCTTCTCGTCTCATTGGAGGACACCGCACGGCCCGCCCCGCGCCGTCTCAGCCACAGGCCGAGCAGGTCGGCTCCCGCCTCCGCCGGTCAGCGTTTCGGAAGGCTACCTCCGGCTCTCGGCGCCCCAGGAAGGCAGCCGCTGTGGGGCACAGTGTCCGTGCGGGACGCAGGCGCCTCCCACCTCACAGCCGCGCCGGGCCCGCCCCCGGCGATTCCGCCCCGCCGTCCTTTGGTGGAATGTTGACACCGAGACGAGCTCGGAGTTCCGGGGGCAGCGCCGGGGCCCGGGCGCCCCTCACCGCGAACCTCAGCCTCCGGCCTGGCGGTCGCACGCCGCCGCCTAGCAGCGGCCGGGGCAGAGCTGCGCCCACAAACCCGACCGGAACGGGCAGCCCTGAAAGCGGCCCGACGGCCACCGCCCTGGCCGCCTCGGGGGCAGAGCCAGCGGAGGAACCGAGGAAGGGACCGGAGTGGGCGGGGGTGCCTCGTGCGGTCAGACCCCTCTGGGCCGGGGTCCCGCGTGCGGTCAGAGACCCCTCTGGGCCGGGCTCCCGCGTGCAGAGACACCTTCTGGGCCGGGGTACCGCGTGCGGCCAGAGACCACCTCTGGGCCGGGGTCCCGCGTGCGGTCAGAGACCCCTCTGGGCCGGTGTCCCGCGTGCAGAGACACCTTCTGGGCCGGGGTCCCGCGTGCGGCCAGAGACCACCTCTGGGCCGGGGTCCCGCGTGCGGTCAGAGACCCCTCTGGGCCGGGGTCCCGCGTGCGGTCAGAGGCCACCTCTGGGCCGGGGTCCCGCGTGCGGTCAGAGACCCCTCTGGGCCGGGGTCCCGCGTGCGGTCAGACCCCTCTGGGCCGGGGTCCCGCGTGCAGAGACACCTTCTGGGCCGGGGTCCCGCGTGCGGTCAGACCCCTCTGGGCGGGGGCTTCCCCGTGCGGTGAGGCCGGCGCGGCCGGCGTCCACCTCGGCCACCGTGGGCTCCTGGCAGTCCCTAGGTCCGCTCCGTGAAGGCTAAGCTGCACCGAGACCAGGTGCCGGCACACAGGGCGTGGGCCCGCCGGTGGCCTTGCTTGGGGGGCGGGACTCGGGGCTTCCCGCTCTCGCCCGCAGAGGGGACCCCAACACCGCCCTCCCTCCGCAGCCTCGGAGCGAGCTCCGGCAACAGGTGAGTGCCGGCAGCGAGCTGGGAACTGCGGGGAGCCGACCCCCCGGCGGGGGCGCAGCTCGGGCCCAGCCCCGCGCGCCGCGCCCCCGGCCTCACGCCGTGGTACTCACGCTATGCGTCAAGTGTAGAGCTGGCTGCCGGCGTCCGCAGCGCTCTCGCGCGGAAACAGCCACGCCGCCGGGCCCGAACTTCAGAGCGCGGCCCCGGCCCGACGGACAGACCCTCGCCCGCAGAGCCCCCAGCGCCACCCGGAAGCCGCCGGCCGCGGGATGCCGGGCAGCCCAGCGCGCCTTCGCCACCCCCTCCCCCCGCGGGGCGCGGAGCCGGGACTTCCGGGCGGGAGGCACGCGAGCAGCGCGGCGGCCTCACACATGTGCGGGGCGCGCTCGCGGCCGAGGGCGGACTTCCCCTCCCGGCTCGCTCCGCCGGGGGCGGGGCCGCGCGCGCAGCCAATCAGGAGCGGGGGCGGGCCCTCGCGCCTCACGTAGCCGCAGGACGCCCCCCCCTCCGCCCTTCACGGAAAAAAAAAAAAAAAAAAACCCTAGCAACTTAAACTCCTGCCCGGCCTCCCTATAGGCGGAGCTCGAGATAATGTCAGCCAATCCGTGCCCGAGAAGCGAAAGAGGGAGTCCCGAGCAGCCAATGGAAGACAAGAGCAGGCGGGGCCCGCAAGGAGCCCGGGGCGGCGGGCGGCGAGGCGGCGCCCCGCCCCGCGTGTCCCCTGCGGGCCGCTTGCACAAGCCGCCGGCGGAGTCGGTAGTAAACAGTCTGGGCCGCGGCCGGAGGCCGGCCGGCCGGCCGGCCGGGCCCGCGCCCCCGCCCGGCGCCTGCGCCCCGCCTCCCGCCCGCTGATGCGTTTCCTCTTCCCGAGCGAGCGTGGAGACAGTTCCCCAGGTTCCGACCTTCACGGCCGCTCCGGGCGGCGAGGCGGCGGGGGGCGAGGGCGGCGGCCCCGGGCCGGGGGCGCCCGCGCCCCTCGTGCAAGTTTGCGCGCGCAGGGAAGCCGCGAGCCCGGCCCGCCCGGCAAGTCCGCGCGGAGGGAACTCCGGGCCGGCCGCCGCCCCCCGCCTGCCGGAGCGCGTCCGGTCGGCGCGCAGGGCCCCCCACCCACCTTTTTTTTTTTTTTTTTTTTGCTGCTTTTCGTGTGTTTTTCTTAAAAAAAAAAAAAAAGGCGTGAGCGGAGCCGGAGACTCCTCCGGCTCGCCGCTCCCCAATCCGCCGCCGAAACCTACCGACACCGAGTGCTCGGCAACACTAGGCGGCGCGGCCGGCGCTGGCGCCCCCTCCCCACGGCTCGGCCCGGCCGGGAGACACAGTGGCGGGCGGGCGGGCGGCGCCGAGCGCCCTCCCTCCGGGCCGGCCCCTCGCCTACCTCGGCCGCGGGACTCCGAGCCGCCCCGGGGCCTGCGCGCCCGCTCTGCGTCGGGCCGGCCACGGCGAGCCGCCCCCCGGACGCGGGCCGGGGGCACCGAATTGAAAGCAGCTGTTTAACATACCTTCCGAGCCGGGCGAGGAGTGCTGAATGGGGAACGCCCCCCGCCGGCCATTGGCTCCGCGGCGCTGCGTCACGGCCGAGGGCCCGCCTCCGCGCTCGCCCCGCCCCTCCCTCCGGGAACCGTGCAAATAAATAAATTAGGCGAGCCCGGAGCGGAGGCGCCCCGGTGCCGTCGCGGCGGCGCCTCGAGGGTCCCGGGCGGCGGGGCTCCGGGACGGCGGCCCGCCGTGCTGGGCGCCTGGAGACGAGGGGTGCGGGCGGGAAGCCCTGCGTGCAGCCCGGCGAGGGAGTCACCCCAGCCCTGGGGCGTGCGGGCGCGGTGGAGATGCTGCCGCAGGAGCCGAGGCGAGGCGGGAGTGTGCTCCCGCACAGACTGGCCGACTCCCGGGCGCTCCCAGGAGGGAGAGCCCTGCCGGCTGCAGGTAAGCCGGCGGAGCCGCGTGGAGGCGGCGGCGCGCCAGGTGGGTCTTAGGGGTTGCCCCGGGCAGAAGCGGAGGGGCAAAGGGCACGAAGGGACAGGTGGAAAGCGTGAGGACTGCGATGCTGGAAACCAGGGTGGCAGAGGTGGCCCCAAGCCGCGGGACGTCTCCTAGCTGGACCAAAAGCCGGTCGCAGGCCCAGGCCGGTGTGGTCGGGTGCTTAGCGCCCTAGCAGCCGGTGGGCTCTGGGGTGTGCCCAGTGAGGGGAGGGAGGCGCTGGGTTTGGTGGCTACAGTGCTGCGACGCCTGCCCTGCCTCTGCCCTGCCGCCCTTGCTCTGTTGGTCTCCATTGCCAACCGAAAAGAGTTTCCAGGGGGCAGGGCCACCCCGCAGGTCTGTGTTCAGCAGAGGCCGGGTGCGCCTGGTGTGAGCGAGGGAGACCGGCTGGTCGGGGCTCGGAGGGATCCGTGCGGTGGGGCCGGTAATTCAGGCGGGGCACACTAGACCAGGGCACGGCCAGGGGATGCGTGCGAGCAAGAAAGGCGAGCAGTGTTGGAGAGACTCAGGGGAGAGGGCGGCTATTTGGAGTGGGCGGTGGGCGGCAAATGGAGCCAGCGGCCCTCGGCGGGGTGAGGCGGAGGAGCTCGGGGCTGGCGGAAATCGGCCCTGCGCTTCGCGTGGCCGTTGTCGGAGGCTTAAACGAGCTCCTGTCTCCCCTACCTGGGCCTGAGCCTCTCCACGAAACGGGGTGGGAAATGGAGCGGACAGGCTGCCAGCCGCCACCCCCACCCTCCGCCCCGGCCCCAGGGTCCACGTGGGAAGCTGGGCTGTAAGCAGAGAGGGCAGGTGGGGAGCCGCAGCTTTGGGGAGACCACGGAGGGGAGAGGAGGGGGAGCCGGGAGATGAGCCCTGTGTGCTCCTGCGCTGTGCCGGCGTCAGATGAGGCAAACGGTAGGGTAGAGCGGGCGCCGGCCTGCACCGCGAGCCCCCTGGCTCTCGCTGGGTCCCTGGGTCCCTGCCTGGGGGAAGAGGCTGACCCGGCCACCCCGGCCGCGAGGAGGATCCCGGTGCTGCCAGCATGTGGCTCAGGTCCTGGGAGGCTCTGGGCAGCAGGTGGTGTGCCGTGGGTGAGGTTACTGACACAGCAGATCCGCAGCCGGACAGCGTACTCACTGCCCCGAGTGCCACCCCGGCGGGGACCCCTGAATGCCCCAGGCTGCTCTGAGCCCCGGCGGCGCGTTGCCACGCACAGCACAGCCTTTCTCTTTGGGAGGGGACCTGATTCTCCCCTGTGTGCTATGCCCCGCTCGCCATCCTCGTTTGTAGGTGAGCAGAGCGGAAGGAGGCTCAGAAGTGGAATGACTTGTGCAACCCAGGCACCCAAGGCAGGTCCGCCTGGGGCCGCCACCCCGCGTGCTGTTTCTGCAGACGGGGGCCAGCAGCTGGGGCGTGGGCTCTGGAGAAAACCAGCCTGCCCTCCTGGGGCGCCCCTGCTCAGCTCCCCAACTACAAGGGCAGCTTGTCTGCAGCCAGGGCTGACTGATTCCTGACCCTTGCCCAAAAATCCTCCCCAAAGCAGCACGGAGTTGCCTCCGGTCACAGGCGTGTGTCTCACAACACAGGCATCACACACTCCCTCATTCACTTCTCGGGGTGCTTGGGGCGGGCAGTGATGGGGAGGCACAGGGCCCGCATTTCAGTGGCTTGGCCGATGGATACCGATGGCCAGCGTGGTGGCTCAGGAATAGCAAGGCGAGGGGGCTGTGAGGCCGGCGCCCCGCCCCGCCCCGCCGACAGCAACCCCTGTGCTCATGGCAAGCGCTCGGGCTCCGGCCAGGATCCTGGGTCAGCATTTCTTGGAGGGGGAGGAGCTTCCGTTTCCCGTGCGCAGCCCCTGGGCTGTCGTGAGCTGTGGCGTTGAGTGTACTCGGGTTCAGGGCCACCATCTCCTCTCCTGGCTGTTCAGATGCCAGGTCCCCAGAGCCATCCCACCATGCGAGTAAACTCCATTTTTCTGGCGACCAGCTGGCCTAGGTGGTACACAGCCTAAAGCTTCTGATTTCTCGGTAGCTTTGGAGGCTTAAGATTGCGTGAGCTTTGCCGGCGCCGTGGCTCACTAGGCTAATCCTCCGCCTTGCGGCGCTGGCACACCGGGTTCTAGTCCCGGTCGGGGCGCCGGATTCTGTCCCAGTTGCCCCTCTTCCAGGCCAGCTCTCTGCTGTGGCCAGGGAGCACAGTGGAGGATGGCCCAAGTGCTTGGGCCCTGCACCCCATGGGAGACCAGGAGAAGTACCTGGCTCCTGCCATCGGATCAGCGCGGTGCGCTGGCCGCAGCGCGCCAGCCGCGGCGGCCATTGGAGGGTGAACCAACGGCAAAGGAAGACTTTTCTCTCTGTCTCTCTCTCACTGTCCACTCTGCCTGTC